TGTGTGTGTGTGTGTGTGTGTGTACTGTGTATGTGTTTGACAGTACTGTTGGTGGTGGGGCGGTAGCGGTGGCACACGGTGCTCGAGAATGGTGGACGGGTGGCAAAGTGGCGCGTAGTGCCCAAAAACGCGCGCGCGGTGCTGTTATCTATATATCACCGTTCGCACTCACACACCCACACACACACACACACACACGCAACGGTGGTAGCTGCTGCTCTGCTCGCACACTCTCGTATCTCACACTCACACTTACACAATTAACACAAGCGCGCGCATACATTCACGAGAAAAACACACTACCGCCGCCGCTCGCTACTACTTGTGCTTCTGCCTTCTACCGTTGCCGCCGCCGCTGGTGGCAGTAGTAGTAGTAGTAGTAGTAGTAGTACTAGTAGTACTAGTAGTATGAGTAGTAATAATAGTAGTAGTAGTAGTAGTTTGGTAGTGGTGGTGTTGACGGTGGTGGCGGCGCTTGCGCTTTCTCTCTTACTCTAGTCTAGCACTGTACGCTCTCTCGCTCGTTCACACACGGCTTGGAGCCACACGCCAACACTCGTACACCTTCGATACTACTAAACCGCGAACATGACACCCGTCACGATCCTCTAAACACATACATAATATTATTATAGAGTATAGACACTCATCGATGTGTTGTGGACGCCGAGCCCAGTGCCGACGATATCATTTTTGAGCGCGCTCTCCGAATAATAAGTTTTTGTTCCCTGTGAGAGCAGTGGTTGGGGGATCTGGCGCAAAATCAAATTGTTAGAATTTTCAAAAACTGTCAACATTGAATCGCTAACATCGCGAAATATTTTAGAAGACCAAGTCGAGGGAGTACTCGAAGTGTTGAGGTTATCACTCATCACTATTCACCGGTGTCGGTTTGCGTTTTGAAAAAATATTTAAATTATAATTGCAATCAACACTAAGGGAGGTGTGTGGCAGATAGCAAGTGAAAAAAATGTCTGAATTTAATCGTGTGTAATGTGTGAACCGAACATAGTTGCCGGAGGGTCCCGCAAACGAATTCGAATGCGTCTTGGCGTCTTGGCCTCTTGGGTCCCGTGAGCGAGCACAGCAGCTGAATATATGGCGCACGCGGGGCACATTTTGCCGTTGACGCGTGAGAAAAATTGTAGTAAGGTGGCTTTCGGAAGATTCGGTGACTCAATAATATATGGATACACGGTTGACAGGCACTCAAGCCAGCTGTTGATGTAATTGCCTGATTGTATTGGTTAAGGGCTTAAGGGCCACTACTATCTATATTCTCGTCAAAGCTTGCTAGTCAGTGGCGACTGGCAAACGCCACCTTTCTAATTTCCTTAGGTTAACGGTATTTCGAACCTCCCTTAACACCACCACCGGTTGGTCGATAACGTTCGATCGCCATCTACACGTTGCACCAGACATCGCAGCAGCAGCGTCTATTTTTAGATGCGCCCACTAAAAATGGAATCTTTGCGTCTATAACACAATTAAAGACATCTTTAATCGTGGTCTATAATAAAAGTATATTTTGCATATTATATTTAACTCGTCGTATAATATACACTGCATAAGACCAGACGAGCATCTACCTACTTATTAATTTTTTTTTTAGTTGTATTTGTAGTGTATTTAATTTTTGGGGGATAAAATATTAAAAATATCCCTGTTGGCTGGTGACGAGTGAYAATGTTGTTTTGGAAGCTGCAAAAGCGCTAACAAATAAAAAATGATATCGGTCCGGTTTTGTTGCATATACTTGCATAGCTTAACAAGATATTGTATATTTGTATGTACATCAAGACGTAGGTATTTAATATTATATTATATTAAACTTATAATATTAATTGTATGATTTAATTATTGGTACAAATGTACTACATAGTCATCGTAATTCGTAATATTATATCATTAATCATAGCCCATAGCTAGGAGTGCTCTAGTGCACAGACAATGTTCACAYGATAAGCCGCGGATGATAAAATGCGCCGCCTCCCCAAATAATTTATTGGTTTATATGCCCTTAAAATGAATGACGTGTCACAAATGGTTCGTTGTTAAAATATCATGCCTATTGTCTATAACTTGTAAAAATTATCTAAGATCCACTCAAAGTCTCAAACTAATAAAAAAGTAAACATTTGCATTTCTATATTCTATATCCCCGATTGAGAATAATATGTGTTAAAAGAATTGAATTGCGAAACTTTTATCTACACATGTGTTTCTATCAAATGTCAAAATAAACCTATATGATAGATAATAATATTGTATCCAAATTTWAAGGATGTATTTTGTTATTATATAATTATTTATAAAACAATATTAACAGATATGAAATTATGTTTTAGTAGATATTTAAATAAAATTTGTTTTATATTCCTACCTAATTAATATATATATATTTTAGATATTATGTATACAGAAAATTCCTTTTGGTATTGACATGATTTATAATAGTAAATACAGTAAATTATGTGATGATAACAGATAAAGTAAACTTATAATAATAATTCAGTCAGTGTGGTTTATTTTAGTTATTTAGAGTGGAGATTTCCCTATACAGGCGAAACCATGTACCGATGTACCTATCTTTAGTATTTTAAATWGCTGTATTAAAAAAACAAAAAACTTATGAAAAACATTGTAGGTAGTAGATATTAAATTTTCATGCATTTTGGTAGACCAAAAATTGATTTATCGTTATTTATATAAAAACACTACCTATTAAAAAACAACATGCTGCATATATTTTACTAGGTACTTTAGAGTTTAGTTTATAATGTTTAAATATTCATTATTTTTGGATGCCCCAAACTTGTTATGTATCGAGGACCTGAGCAATGCAATGATTGCACCGGTGATGTATCCGGCACTAAAGGAGCCTTGATTTTACAAATTACAAAGGGCCCTGAAAATCATAGCACGACCGGCATTTATTATAAATACCTATAGCCTATGAGTAGTGTTAATAATGTAATATACACACACTAACTTCCTTATGCATTTATTTTCTCGAAAAATGTTAATGCAATTATTATTATTTAAAATAGCCAAATATATATACTACTACTATTACTAGGTAGGTATACATAACATATTAGGTACATACATAATAAATCGTTCGATTCTAAAAAAGTGCCAGCTCTCCTCTCCTATAATACCCACTCAAAATACGGCGTTTAAGATAGTCAATATACAAACATAGCTAATCGATAATAATATTGAATAATAATGTATAAAGTATAAACAAAACACAAAATGTAGTAACGTGTTCATGTGTGGCTGTTATGATTTTAAACTGACATTGATCCGTGTTCAATATGAATTCGATGATAAATCATTCAATCATTGTATAATTATTAAAATATATAGACATAGAAACAATAATATTGTGAATTATTGTGTGAGTTTGTCAGCCTCTGTAGAGTATATAATACTAAAATATTTTATAATATAGTATTTATATAACCATATCATTATTAATCAGGTGTGGGGGTGGGGGGGATCAACGATATTCTTAAGAGGACGCTACACTCGCATGTGTTATTTCCGTCATACAAATGTAAATCATTGTGAAAATTGTTTTGTGCGGTAAAGAACCACTCAAGCTGTAATAGTGTAATCCATGCTAAGCAACAAAATTTTCACATCATAAAGAAGTAAATATTTACTGTGCAACATTGCTTTTAATTTTTCGATATCATGAATAAGAAAAACTTTATTTTTGATTTTTTTTTTTTAGTTTTGATATTGAAAAAATAAAAACAACGTTGCACTTATAATATTCTCCTTTTTAGAGTGTGAAAATTTGGTTGCTTAGCTTGAATTATAACTTGAGTGGTTCTTTCCTGCGCAAAACAGTTTTTGCAATGTTTTACATTTCAACACTTATTATAATATTATTAAGACGAAGACAACACATGCGGGTGTAGCGTCCTCTTAATATTATACTCAAGCGCGTTATGTTTAAAATATGCGAATCCGAAACTTATACTTTTACACATTTTAATAATTAGTTCTACTTAAAAACTATTTTTCTATCTTTAAACTAGTATTTTGCTATTTTTAATATAGTTTGCTTATATATTATATTATATCACGATGATACTTAGTGACTTTGCCTACAGTGACTTGTTTATTAATGAATACAGAATAAATGTTTTAACAATCAATTAAAAACAATTTTGTACTTCTTTCTGAAACATGTAGGTATTTAGTACTTGGTATTTATTATTGCTATCAAAATAGGAGTGATAATTAATAATAATACTAAAAATTGACTTTTAAGTCATTGAATGTATAAAATGTAATTAATAACTCAAAAGTGGCCATGAAGGTCCCAAAAAGCAGAAAAAAATCCTTATAAAGTACCAAAAGCCCGTTATTAATTTTATAAAATATTTGAATTCTTTTTTCTCTTTCCTAGATTATGTAGGAAATTATTTTTTTGATTTATTCATTGTTGTGTTGTTTTAATTAGTATAGTACCATATGAATTTACTTTAAATAACTTAATCAAAGAATTCGGTATATTTATATTATATTAATATAATACAATGTAGTTTATTTTAATTATATTATTGTTTACAGTTAAAATATGTAAATCATTAAACTTACTCTAATCTACGTCATA